TTTTATGTCAGTCCTTGAATAGTGGGCAGGTACCAGAGGATTGGAAGTTAGCTAATATAACTGCTCTTTTCAAGGGAGGTGATAAAAATTGTTCCAGTAATTATACACCCATTAGTCTTACATTTGTTGTGGGGGAATTTTGAAAAGTCTGATAAAATATGCTTTACAAAGTTATTTAACAAAGTTTAGAATTTTATTGGATAGTCAGCATTGTTTCACTGAGGGAAAATCTTGCCTAACAAATCTCTTGACATTCTTTGAAAAGGTTACTACTTATGTAGATGAGGGTATGGGTGTAGATATGGTGTATCTGGATTTTCCGGAATCATTTGACAAGGTGCCACATAAAAGACTTCTAAAAAATTTGCTCTATAGGTGTGGGGGATAAGTTAGCAAATTGTATATAGAAGTAGCTTGTTGGAAGAAAGCAGAGGGTTATTATAAATGGAGTTTAGTCAAACTGGATGAATCCCAACAGTGGGGTACCTCAGCGCTCAGTCTTTGGACCTTTGGTCTTTTTTGATTTACATCAATGACATAGATGAAGGAATGGTCAATAAATTATTTAAATTTGAGGATGATATTAAGGTCTTGGGTGTTACTAGCTGTGAAGAGGATGCTGCTTATTTACAAAAGTTGGGCAAATAAATGGCAAATAGGTTTTAATTACAATAAATGCAAGATAATGCATGTGGGTTATCATAATTTGAATTATAAGTATATTTGGATGGGAATAACATTAACAGTGTTATGAAAGAAAGGGATCTTGGTGTAATAGTTGGCCAGTCTTTAAAGTCATCCAAACAGTGTGATGTTGCTAGTGTTTCTCTCTTCTTGTTTCTTTTCTTTTTCCTCCAACAACTGCTGTAATCTCTCTTCTTGTTTCATTTCGTTTTCCTCCAACAACTGCTGTAATCTCTCTTCTTGTTTATTTTGCTGTTGGAGCTGCCACTGTTGCAGGTTTTCTTGCAACTGCTGTTGTCTCTCTTTTTGTTTCTTTTCTTTTTCCTCCAACAACTGCTGTAATCTCTCTTCTTGTTTCTTTTGCAATTCTTGTATTGCTACCATCAAATCTGCTAAGCTGTAGTTTTATTTGCTGCTTCTCGTTTCCATCTTCTTTTTTTTTGTCCCCCTCTCTGACACCAACTTGTTACGTCTCTGGTCGTTAGTTAATTTTCCGTATAATGTATTTCTGATGAAACTTTAGTGACACAAGTCCTTTCTTAAATGAAACTAGTTTATTCTTTCTTAATACAACTTTGCAATTCACTTAATTTCCACTGTCATGCTATAAGTTAAACAAATGCTATAATTCACAACGAAAGACTCATGCACTCTACCCAACTGTCCGTCTTTATCTCTGTCTGCAATTCAGCTACATTTCATTGTTGCCGTCACATCTTGGTCGTTTTATATACAAGAATACCGCATATCTAGTAAACACTCGAGGCTTCAGGAAGGGACATGAATGTTCTAGAAGCTCATGATGTGTTACCAGCGTCAGGTGACTTCCGCTGTCGTAACAATACTTTAGTTCATATGTCATGTATGTGAAACAGATGTGTGACATGAAATAAAAATATATGTATCTTCCAAACTACAAACATGTATTATATGAATATATGTAACACAGAGTTGCTTATATGTCCTGTTGACAGAATTAGAATTTTGTGTGACACAAAACTCTTAAATTTTACAAAATATAAAACCAATATGTCAAAATAAAGGCTTTTACATGCTATATGAAGAAAGCAAAGGTTGGGCTACCAGAAAAATGTTTTTTTCAGGTTTCAAAGGCTCCTCAGAGGGCCTATACACATGGAAAAAAAATAAGGATGCCAAAGTAGCCAAGTTCATTCTGCAAATATATTGTAACTGTAAAACAACTTTCACAATACATATATGTTTCTTAGCCATCACTTGTAGGCAAGCTTTCCATCTCATGGACATTTCCTTTAGTCCTACTCAGAAAAGAAACAATTAAATCCCCTTTTTTGTCATTTAATTAACATCCTTGATATGCTCTAAAGCATACTTTCTGTATTTATTTCTTTTCAACTTTAAAAATAACTTTATTGTACCAACTTTTTGTGTGCAAATATCAGTGAAATGTTCTCTCATTATGGTGTCTTGTTCTCTACTGCCTTCTCATGGGCAGTATCAGTACAACTGCTACATATTGTTCATCAAATTTTACATGCCAAATGACAATATAATGGTATCTGTTACAATAACATTTCTACAATGTTATTACAACTAAAAACTTGACCTGTTTGCATTTCATCTTAGAAGTTGTACATTAAATGTTTGTTACATTATGTTTTTAATATCTTAATTTAGATATTTTGTATTTGTTGCTAGAGGGAGTTTCACCATAAAACAATGATAATGTGCCACATCAAAAAATGTCTTGACTGTTATGTTTGACTTGACACCTTAAATTTTTGGGAGATTAGGGTTTGTTTTGTTTTGAATTTTGCACAAAGATTCACAAGGGCTATCTGCACTAGCCATCCCTAATTTAGCAGTGAAAGACTAGAGGGAAGGCAGCTAGTCATCATCACCAACTGTCAACTCTTGGGCTACTCTTTTACCAATGAATAATGGGATTGACTATTACATTATAATGCCCCCATGGCTGAAAGGGAGAGCATATTTGGTGGGACAGGGATTCAAACCCATGATCCTTAGAGAGCAAGAGCATGGCCATGCTGGGCTCAGGAGAAGTAGTTTATTAGTCAGAGTTAATCAGTAAGCCAGTCAGTCAGTGAGTGATTAGTTAGTATCCGTTAACATGATACTGATCAATTATGAGTGCATTAGTCAGCCAGTTTTGAGTTGTGATACAAGAGGAAGTTTAAATAAGTGATTGTTTAGTTTTATTTGTTAATTAGGGCTATCAATGAATATTGCTTGTAAAACTTAAGTATAACAGTCGATGAATTAAATCCACCGAACAATAGAAATCATTAACACAATAGTAACCATTTATTAATATTGTTTGTTATTTAACGTGGAAGCAATATGGCAGAAAAATTAAATAGTTTTTGCATTTTCAAAAACATCATTTCTGGTATGAAATTTACTGGATGTAAGATTGCAAGTTTCATTAATATAACTGACAATAAAAAGTTAATGACTGAAGGAAAAACTTTGTGAAAAACTGCACACAAATAGTCTAAAAACTGTACAGAAATATTTTGCTTGCAAAAGATAATTGAAACAGCGGATGAAATTAACGTAAAAACAAATTTATTTTCATAACACTCAGACTTATTAATGTTCATGTAATTTAATGTAAACTAATCAATGAATTATACTGTTGCCATTCAAATTTGTATCATTTTAACATTTCTGTTAGTGACATTTAGGCACTACCTGAAGAAAGGTATACATTCAAAACATTGTGAAAATAAATTTTCCTCAACTGGCTTTTATCCCCCATTATTTTTAACAAATACAATATTTCTATACAATAAAATGTTAATACTGAATGTTAAATTTTGACATGACAACAGTACATCTTTTTAAAATTTATACAATTACCTTTCCTATTTTAAAATTTAACAATTAAATAACAAAGGAAATAAAACAATACAGTTTTCAACATCTTGTAGCCAAACTAAAACAATTTTCATTGACATGTCAGTAGATTTTTACATGTGCACCATCTGTGACTCTCAGTACATCTAACCAATATTTTTATTTCAGTCCATGTTCGCTGCAACATATTTGCAACTGCAGTAGTGATGGCATCCATTATTCTGTTCTTTAGCTGTGTGATGTTTGCTATAGGTGTGTGATACACAATATCCTTAACATACCCCCATACTTCTTTCCTGTACTGGCATCCATCAATTGTTCTAGTCTTTCGCTGTGTGATGTTTGCTGTAGGTGTGTGATACACAATATCCTTAACATACCCCCATACTTCTTTCCTGTACTGGCATCTGTAATTACACTGCACCAAACTCACTTACTTGGTCTTTGCAAGCCAAATGATGCATTGAGTCATTTCTTACATGGTTGCCATTTTAAATGATAACACTACTCACTGGAGTAAAAATACATAACAATAAAAAACTGTTTGAGTTTGGCTACAGGATGTTGAAAACTGCATGGTTGAATTTCCTTAGTTATTTAATTATTAAATTTCAAAAGAGGGAAGATATTTTTGGACCACTCTGAATTTATAAAGTTAAAATTATTCTTTATAGTTCAAAAGTGAACATAAAAAGAATTGTGCTTAAAGCTTAAAATTATTTCACTATTTTTTTGTGAAAAATGATATACAGTCAGTAATGAAAGTGCTGTTACAAAAATTTACACTTTTAGTTAACTGAAAAATAGATAAAAATTTATTAATTATACAGGATCAAAGAAGATCATTTTTATGCTTAAATGATTAGACAGTTTTAGTTAGAAGAATATTCATTTAATTGATACTAATTACTTAATAATATTTGTGATATGATAAGATTACTTTTTAGCTTAATGTTTTTCCTTATAACCTCAGTGTAAAACATATTTCTGTGATGGTTGTTTTACTGCAATATAGTTTACAAACAGTAAATTTTTCTGTTTACTTTTATAAAGCAGTATTGTGTATAAATTTTCTCACAAGGATAGATGTAAGACTAAACAGCTTTGTTAGTTTGAAGTTATGCACAAAGCTACACAATGGGCTATCTGTGCTCTGCCCACTACGGGTATCGAAACCCGGTTTCTAGCATTGTAAGTCCGCAGACATACCGCTGTGCCACTGGGGGGCAACTAAACAGCAGGAAATCAATTTCAAATGTGATGCAGAAATAAAAACAAAAACAGAGCAGGAACATCACTAAGTGAATAATAGTTTTCCAGCACAATAATTTTAATTGAGGGCAATTTTCAGTCAACATGTAGGTATAAGTTTCTTTAATTCTGAGTTCTATCTCTCTCAATCAGGGTTGTAGATGTGATATTAAAATATTTCAAGCCAACAAGTGATTGACATGAAGAGACAATAAAGGTTCTCCAACATTGTCACGTTTATACTCTTAAGTTTGGTGTGCTCATTAACATCAGCCATGTGGAAGCACTGCTGTCAGTGTAAATGACTGTGCTGGCAAGCTATTATTAAATGTGTTGCACTACATAATCTTTGAAGCTAAGGAACACAACAACAAAGACATAATCTATAATATATTGTCACTGCTCTCCTACATAATTTCTTTAATAAGTGAACAATAAACTTTGATCTTCATTAACACCAATATCTTAAAATTTTTCTTTAATAGTCACTTCTCTGCCATACAAGTAAATCATAAATCTAGCTTACAGTACATGTTCATAACAACCCCTGCTTTTACTCCCCTAACTATACAGTAAAGTTTACTTCATATTAACTTAAATACCCAATTATTCTTCATTACTAAACAAGAATTAGTATCATCCAACATTCTTGTGTAAGTCTATAGTCATATGTACTTTACTTTATTGACTTTTTAAAAAATTTAATTAGTTAATTTACTATTATAAAAAACATCTTGCTTGACCTAATTAAACAATCACTAGGGTTTGGAGCTCTGTTCTTGTATAAAATGCAAAAAGATAAAAGACTTGTATTAATTTTCAAGTATATTCAAAGTATTTCTTTTTTTTTTTCTTTTGCAAAAGTTATTACATGTCGATTCATTAAAGAATCCAAATGTTATGGTTATCCTCTAAGCTTTTTCTAATGGGATATTGAAAATAAAAAAGGTATTTTTAAAGAATTAAGATTTGACATGTGATAATGGTTCTTCACTATGAGGTAAAGAATGTTTGTACTGTTTGGCACCATATAAACGATCTTTATAGGTATTAAAGCAAATATATGGTGTCAAGATACTTTGCAAAATCAAGGATATTCCTCAGATAGAAAAAATATAACAGTACTTCTTCAGTATACTTAGGTCAATTTAATATTCCAAAATTGTCAAACATATTTTACAAGTGAATTCATATAATTAAAAAAATATGCACTTTTAGTTTTTCAGCACTCATAAAGTGGTCCTGTTATTTATTTATAAAATAAGTTGGCCAGCATAGGTCTTTCACAGCAACTCATTATCTATCAATGGGCGAGATGGCGCTCTGCATTACTACAGCATACACAAGTAACTTGTACAGCAAAAAAACAAACCATGTATTTATTGCTTACATATTAATATACAGGTTTCATCAATTACATGCAAGTTTGCTACATTTGTACATCCAAGAGGAATGTAGCCAGCCATTGTTAGTATAAAAAAAAGGCAAGATATTTATTTTTATTAATGAAACATTGATAATACATAACAGTTGTTAGTATTATCTGGGCATAGTTGTTTTACAAGAAGCTCAAGGAGTCAAATTAGAAAGTAGCAAATTGGGATAAGATTTTGACTTTCTTAGAATGTACAAACAATTTGGCATAACCAATCATAAAATATTTATATTTCTAGAAAGTTTCTGCTTTACTTTAATGCCAAGCACTATAATTTCTGGCTCAGATGAGCATATTAGTGAAATCTATAGGTAAACATTAATTGAATCAATAGCATTATCTTATGGATGCTTTGTGAAATACTGTGATAAACAAAACCATGTAGAAAGGTAACCTCCATTAAGACTACCATTCCTTGATAATTATGTTAAGTTTGTTTGTTTGCCTTTTTTCTTTAGAACAAGGCCACATTGGGCTATCTGCTGTGTCCACCAAGGGGAATCAAGCCTGAGGTTTTAACATTCTATGTCCATAAGTTTACCGCCGTCCCACCGTGGGACAATTATGTTAAGAACTTTGACCCTTTTAAATCAACTACCACAAAACAAGGTTTATATATACGAAAAGCACTAAAACCTCAAACAACATTACAAATTTACACAATGGAATCAGTTATGAGATTATTCCAAACAAGTATCTTGGTTTAATTGGAAGAGTTACTTAGAAGGTCATAGAGTGATGTCATTTATCACAAAGATGCTCAAAAAATAAATTTACATGATAAATGATTCAGTTCAAGAGTCCTACACATGCTACTTACATTTTAATAAAATTTATATTTTAGTTGCTATCCAAACAGATTAATACAGTACATTTTAAGAAATAGCAGTTAACAAACTAGCTCACAGACATGGCTGTAAACTTTCAAATTAATCAAAAACAATAATATTTTCATATTAAAGGACAGAGTAGTTCATTAAACATTTTTCTCTGTCTTAAACAGCTATCATATATCCTCCAGCCTCTTACTGCTCTGGTTTCTTCTTCCATATTTAGGGTAAACTTCATTTCTTATTTCCACTAGTCGAAATGCTCTTAATGGTATAGCAATGATTTCAGTAAGATTTTTCAGTATATCCAGTAAGGGGGTGAGGATGTTTAAAATAAGTGTTGAAGAATTCCAAAGAAAAATGCCTATTGGATATAGAATACTATTAAAAAATACAGCCAATACAGGTTTCAGCAACAGGTCTCCAAGGCGATGAAGAGCACCAACCAGTAGTCTCTGAAGAAGACAGATACAAAATCCCAGTAATTCCAGGAGCAAGGCAATGATGAAATCTAAAGGAATTTGTATTGCTGTAAACAACTCTCCCCAGAACTGATGTCCAACAGATTGTGACCTAATAAGCAAGTTTTTTTTAATTTATAAAATGAATGTTATTCAACAGACAAAGAAAATATGTACTCACTTTATACCCACAATGCTTTAGCTTTACACAGTTAATATTTGAAATTTTCTTCTTCTCTTTTGACAAAAAGACATTTCAAAATTAATTTTGATCATCCAATATTCCAAAAAACCATAAATACATTCTCAATTTCAGCTGATATTAATCTTATCCTTAAAATGACATTCATTTAATACTGCATCATTCCATTAAATGTTTCAAATGAATCATTTTTAAAATACATTTTAATATATAGTTTTGTAAAATAATGTCCCAGTAAAACAACAACAGTACACTACAGCCCCTCTTCATATGTCTATTAACTGTAAAGATTCACCATGCTTCTCTTATTTAATTACCTTGCTAATATGTAACAAAATAAACAGTAGTCCAATTTGTAAAGATTACAAAAATGATCAAATTAATTTCACAAGATACAATGGTTAATTTCAATCTCAACCTCTCCAATAACGTACTAAATATTGAAACACTACAGGCATTCCTTCAGCAACTCAAACATGACAAACCCTGAAAAAACATACAAAACTGAAAACTCTCATAACGACAAAACTCATAAACTTGTATATCAAAAGGCAAAAATGTTATTAACAGTGAGGGGACCCAACTAACAAAACACTACATTCTAATCTTTATAACTAGAAATGTAAGAAAAGTACACTTAATTAGCTATACTGCATGATTGCCAGGTTGTATTTTGGTTTCACTTTAACTAAATAGCTTGCTCTGATTGGAAGTTAATATTAATTAACACAACAAATTTCCAATAAGTTTATTTTTGTTTATTGTTAAGCACAAAGCTACAAAATCAGCTATCTGTGCTATACCCACCATGAGTATTGAAACTCATTTTTTTTAGCAGTGTGAGCCCTCAGATTTACCGCTGGGGGTACTTTCAATAAGAGAAAAAATACTAACAACAAGGTCTCTATATATATATATATATATATATATATATACATACACGTGTGTGTGTGTGTTATTATGGCTTAACCCTATCACCAGTATTCACTAACCTCTACATAGAGCATTTTGAAAATAATTCCCTCAAAACAACTCAAAAATACAGAATTGGGCTCACGTATCTTGAAAACATTTTCATAAAATCTCACATTCTATAGACAATATTTCAGATTTTATGAACTAAGTGACATCGAACTATACAACGTAACAGGAAATCAGAGAAGGATAACAACCTTCTCTTTCTAAATGAGATGGTCATCAAGACAGCAGCAAATTAGGGTAGACAATAACTGGTAATTAATGACTGAAGAATTTTATAATTAATTAATAAATACCTTGGGTGAACTTACTTATTAACCTTACTAATTGTTACAAAATAGGTTATACAAACTTACCGATCAGCTAATGTGGCAAGTTGAATTTCAACATCTTGTTCCACACTGTAGCAACTTGGATTTCCATGATCAAAGAAATATTTAATTCTACACAGAAAAATGTAATCTGAATTATCAAGTGTTTAATACATAGATAAATGTATTTTCTTTGAGGGGGGTTAAAGAAAAGTTAATCAATAAATTGAATAGCCAACTATTCTTACACTCTTCTTTTGTGGATGTAAAACCTTTACTAGTTGATTTGAATCAAAATATTTAAACTTTTAAAGACCAAATGAACCATGAAATATTGACAGAGAACCAAACAATTTTATTAGTTTATCTAGATAAAAAAAAGAGATTAAAACATAGAATTGGCACTTTCTTCAATAAAATGTACTTTCCAAATGAAGAATTGTTATATTTTTTCAGGAGACTTTTCATAGAAAAAAAATAGCAAGACTTCGTATAGGTCTAAAAAGGAAACAAATTCAAGAAGGTATATTTAGGTTAATATTGATTGTTTTGATCAAGATACCCAAGTAAGCTACATAACCTTATATATGATTACAATGATTTCTGTGTAACCCTTTACTAAAAACAAAATGTTTACTTAATTTTATCTAGACTGAAGAATATGCTAGAAAAAACATTTATTCACTGTTCTTTTCTACAGTAATGTTAGTTAGATAACAATAATAGCAATGTTCTCTATAAAGAATATTAAATTGCTGTCTTTTTCTATTCACTGTAATTCCTTTGTTCTGCATTGTCATGCCAAGGAAACTTCAACAAATCATCTGAAAGCTGATTGGATTTACTTTTTCAATTACATTATGTACAATTAACATAATGCAACATATCCACAAAATGTGAATAAAAGTTCTTGCAGATATGAGTATCATAATTAATTTCAGTCACTGCTTTTCCATCTATAATTTCAGACCATTAACCAAATTATTTCTGTTTCTGCCAAGTGTTCCTCTTCAGTTCCTCATTTCTGAGAACCTTTGTATTTCATCAGTATTTCTGTAACTTAGTTGAAGTATGTTACATTGTGAGACAGTGAATTTCACTTTTATTTTATGATTATGTTTACCATTCATTTATTATTCCTTCTGTTATTTAGTTCAATAATGATTTATTTGTTGCACTCACCTTCTAGCTAAAGCATGTTGATTTTGAGCAAGTATTTATGTATTACAAAACTGACACCAGCTTTCCCTAGCAGTGATGTAAAGATATTACATTGTAAAAGATTATGTAGATTATGGTAATAGTTAGTCACATGAAATGGTCTAATCACACAGTAAAAAGTCTTTCTTGATTTTAAAAAGGAGTTAATTAACGATATAGTTAGAAAGAATTGTTGCTAATTATTGCTTGATATTGTTATTGATCTTGAGAGGTGGTTTAATATTTTCTTCCTAATTTCTTTATTCATTCAAATTAATAACATTTAGATTTATGTTCTACTGTTTATTAATGTGTGTATCAAGTTCTGGCCACACATGAGTTTCCTAACTGTTCTTTTTTTGTAAGTGATAAGATTTGTAATTTAGTTGTTTTAAAGTTTAGATTTCTGTTGTTATATTTAATGAATTGTTTTTATTTGACCCTGGTTGTAGTGGCATTTTGTTTTAGTCCATTACAGCATTACTGAAGAAGAAATGAAATGAGTTAGAACAAGGAAGAATTGCAAAGCATTAAATATTTTCATATCAATGTTAATAATTAAACTGTTACAACAAAAACCTTAAAAAATGCCTTCCTTGGTAGCATAATACTAAATTAGATAACAAATCTAAGAATATTTAGAAATTTTTATAGCAATATTCTATAAACATGTAACAAAGTTTGCAAAGCAGTAATGTTGAAAATATTATTCCCTTGGAGTATCATATTAAGGTAGAAACACAAATGTTATTTACAGCATTACACTGACTGGTGTAGAAGTTTTGCAATGTTTTTTGTGCATGAAAAGTATCTTGTATTCTTCTTAAGTCTTGAGATTTAACACCTAACTTCACATGTAAAGAAAAAACATGTAAAGGAATTAAATATAGGAATGGCTAACATCAATCCTATAGAAGTAATGCAAACAAGATAGTAGGGATGGCATTTGCATCATCCCTACAAAATAGCACAGGCACACAGTGTAGTAGAATATTAACAGACAAAAATAGGATAAATCAAACTCAATTGTGAATGGATAGTTATATATATTGCAATATGTTAATTCTTGCCTAACCAATTACTACTAGTTATTAATAATACTTATAAAAGTAGATACTCCATTTGAAACTATGTCAGAAAGAAGAAGAAAGAAGAACAAGAAATTCAAACTTTTTGCAATGATATTCTCAGAACTTGTGACTCAGTGTTTATGTAGATATTGTTATAGAAGAAAACACTGTATAGTATTGTGAAGTTCTGTTGACTTATTAAGGAGATATCTAATATACCATTTCATTGAACAATCTGAACCATCTTTATATAGGCAGTGCTACTGCTTGCCTGATATGTTTTAAATTAACCAAACATTTAATTTATCTTCAGAGTTGTGCTGTAATATTAGGCTTGTCCAAGGATGTATGGCAATATAACGGATGTATTGCTGTGTATGACAGATAACAAATGTTACTTAGAAAGGAATTAAAATGAATATATTAAATAAGAAGAGACTATTAACTACATGATAATTACTTCCTTTATGTATTTTCAAAAACAAATTGAATTCTGTTTCTCCCAGTGTGTCTTTACACATCTGGACATGAAAGACAATAACCTCTTACAATGGAATATTTTAGGTATTTTGGAATTTTCTTTAATTTGATTAGAAAATAACAATTAACAAAATAAATCTTATCAACAGTTTATCCACCAAAAGCAATGATCACTATCTAACATTGTCACTAGATGCTTCTGATGAGCTTGTGGACATTCATCTGATACAGATAATTCCATTCCTTTCATTTCTCCAATTTCTCCTTTTCTCCAATTTTGTGGAGAATTATGCGATGGACAGGAAAGGACAAATAAACATACTGGTAGGAGTTTTATCATTTAGGAATTGAGCAGGCTACTCTATATGGATAACAGTTTTCCTAAAGAGGATCTCTTCTACAACCAAAGTGAGATGTAGTGAGGGTAATGGCACTCATAAGGACAAAATCATCACCAAAGGTGCTGGTATATGACTTGATACATACTCAAGACTTCATCTCTGTACCTCAAAATTTACAAATAAATATGCTTGGGCACATGGAAGTCAGTTTTACCATAGAAACTGATGCTGCTCAAGACCATAACAGACCCTTCACCATATAGTTGAGCTATTAATGTTGCAATAGCACTGCTCAGATTTTCTCCACTGTCTGGCAGACATGTTGAGAAGTTAAAATAAAATCTGGACTCATCCAAGAGCACTGGCATTTAGTTTTGAAGTGTTCAATCCAAACTGTCTTGACCTGAATCTCAACAATCTTACTTTTGCCCCTGGGAAAATAGGATCCTAACACACTTAGGGTATGTTTAGATATCTATGCCTTCAATGCACAACATACCTTATTTTATCAAAAGATTCTCTACTTATATCAAGATAGATCCTTCCTGTCTAAGACATGGGCTGCAAGAGAGGTAACCACTATTTCTCCCCTATCGCGTTACTTGCCATGAATGACCCAGATTTGTATTCAGAGGAATATTTTTTATGTGCACTCAGTTTGTTGTTATGTTGCACACATCAGATCATTAAAGGGGTCTCATGAAAGGTTGTTTATACCTCATGATGAATCTTGTTCCAACATTTACAACTGGCTGTAGCAGTTGACCCATTTTGTTTCCCATGATGTACCTGATTACCTTAAGGTGAATTTTGAGTTTCATTTCATCAAAATTGACATTTTTTGGCATCCTAGTCACAGTACTCATTTGAGAACATTCTGCAGGCTGGTATCTGCATAGTTTAGAACATCGTTTTCATCACAGCCCTGTCCCTCCAGCTTCAGGAATCTGGTTAAGACCTGTAGTGTTAACACAACCCAGGTGGAATCCCTAACAGAAAATTTCAATTACCATCCTTTAAAATAAAATAACATTCACAGTCTCTCTACTGACATAAGATTCCTTGTATGGGTGGATTTGTCCAGTCACGATTCTCATATGCTTCCTTTTACCTCTGCATTGTTCTAGATATTATTCCACCCTCTGTGTTGATACTCTACAAAAGGGTTATGCCCTTTGCAAAGTGGAAAAAGGATGTTATCAGAGGTGGATACCTTTTCCAACCTCCATGTGCATGTACTTGTATGACATTTAACATTCTGAGACAATAAAGATGTGATGACTGTTCTTCAACTGATGTCTCATAACTCCAATTGGAATGGAGAATAGTGTACAGTTGCTTTTCACATTATTTTGCTTCTTTACATGATGTTCCCATTGCACTATCCCTGAATTATTCAACCCATCTTCAGAACCTCCTGGCTCTTTTTTTTTTATGTTTCCTAGGTACCTAGGTACCACATAAGTAAATCCACTCTGTGCTTAATTAATGATCTTTTCCAATGAGAATTTTCCATTAACAGGTAAAGGTGCTTTGACTCCAGTTATCTGTCTAGCAACTATATGTGACTACACCTGTAAATGTGCATAACAATCCATGTATGTCCATGCTGCCTGACCTCCACTTTATATTTAATGTAAAGGGCATCTAGGGTGAAGAATGCTTTTCCTTCTAGGTGACCACAATTATGGTCCAGCCATCTTAGAGACTGGCTTGTTCCACTCTTTCCAGACAAATCCAGAACAATGCGTATCACTTTGGTTCTGGATTCTGCATAATCACAACACTTAATGTTGTGGTATAGATATATTACCTTTTCTGTCCAACTGGTGAACTGTTTGTCGTTTATTATGAAACTCTCTACTCCCCTCTTCTATAAATAATGTGGGTAATCTGAATTACAGTATTTCAGAGATAAATCCACCTGTTTTAAATTTTACATTTTTAGAATTAAAATTAATTTCAAACAGGTACTTACAACTGAGATATGTTCCCACCCACTTCCACACAATTGGGAGGAATGTGTTATGAGATCGTGAAAGCAAACTAAGAACTCTAATAATATAAATTATAGAGTTAGAAATTTAATTTTTTATTGTTTTATTCAAAGAATTCTGGTAAAATATAAAAATATACATCAAAATAAGGTTCTAAATCTGAATATTTTTAATTGTTTTATTTTGTAGGTGATTTGAGGGAAATGATCAGGTAGAAATTTAATAATTTCATTTTTCCTCATAAAACACATGTTGGAAAAGCTTAAAAAGTATTTTTTAAATATGAATTCATGGTATATGTCAATGTATAACTTTTCTATACTTTAAATTTTAAACAAAAGTTTAATGATTTGCAGTATGATAAAAAACAAAATATTGCTTACTTTCGTTTAGGGCTATAAGAGTCTTCTTCCTCTGTGTACACTGGTACTTGCCATTGCTTGTTGTTGTCAACCTTCTTTTCTACAGAAAATGGGGTATTCTGTTCTGATATGTTAACGGTAACATGACTTTCTTCAGCTGCTTTAATATGTTGGTTATCATTAATTGAAGGTGCATATAGTTTCTTATTTAGAAGCTGGCTCCATGAAGGTCCATCTTTCTTGTGGCTTACTCTTTCTACAGAAATAATAAATGCTTTATTATATAACACAATAATTGATCATATATAAATCAGCAAGAGAATATATATATATAATATTTACACTACTCTATCAGTTCTTTTCTATTCTTACTCTTCTGCTATTATTGGTGAAGCTATCTGTTAAGTCCTAAACAATTAAGGAAACAAGAAATTCTCTTACTTTATGAACAATCATAATATGATTGAACTCAATTTTAACTTCTCTGAACTGAATTCCAAAAAAATGTGAGCATTTAATGTGGAGACTGAATTTACATGATCTGTTTGAGGTACTTTCACTTAATAAAATACATGATTAAAATATAAAGAGTATTGTAGACCTACATATTGTATTAAACTTTCAATTAAGTCTTATACTCTCAATAAATTATAATTACTTCCTTCATTGTTTTGTCAATTTCATCTTTATTATGCAATAATTGCAATAACTGAAAATGCTTGAATTAAATAAAAATAATATGATGAAATTCGCATTACTAGAAAGAGCATTCAATTTACTATGACTTTTATGTAAAGAATTTTTCACTCTGACATGTAAAAAAATTAAAAATTTCAATCTAAATAAGGTTTATTTGTAAATTTCATAGTCATGACACAACAGTAATGTCAAAAACTGAATTAAACTAAAAATACCTGTAACTGATGAAGAGTTAAGAAATAGTGACTATTATTTGTTGTTTTTTCTTGCAGGATTTCAAGGATGATTTTGAAACTGCCATGCCTTTCTAGGCTCCCACTCCCTTTTGTTATGGATATATTGTAAAGTATTAATTTCTTAAACAATTAGATATTTAACTTAAAAACGCATTGCTAATAAACCATGCATAATCTAAGAAAGACAGCTAAATGTATAATACTCCAATTTACTGACATTTCAAGCTATCTTTGATGCATGTATATTCTTAATATACAGCATATAACAACGAATGCCAGCCTATAATTATCAAAATTAACAATACTTTACACACTATTTTAAATATTTTATATGACTACATCATGAATATAAACATTTTATACTACATATTCATAAGTATAAAAGATTTAAAGAAATTTAAGTTTTCAGTAATGAGATTTGAAATTTATGTTGAGTGGGAAGAATTAGTCAGAATAGCATTTAAACAAATTGGTAAAAACATTAATACCAATCAAACAATTCTACATGTAAATAACCAAAATAGAGATACTTAACCTGGCCAAAGAATTTAGAAAAATGTATAAAAAATTAAAATATAATCATCTGTACAGCACACTAAAATTGTATGCTATCATAACAAATTACAACATACAAAAGGATTTAAACATGTATGTTTAGTAAATATTTTGCTTTATCAATTTTTGGTAATTCCTATTATCTGAAATGTCAATTTTTTCCACTAGGCTTATTATTGATTGTATTTTGCTTATGTAAGTTTAGTTATCAAAAATGTTGAGAATCTTGCACATTTTTATATAGTAAAAATTTGTAATTTCAATCATTTTCAAGCTTTGGGCAATTGAAGACATTAAAACCATTTCACTTGTTGTCATCCAATGTGGCTCATTGAAAAGTGTATTTAACAAGTGTCAGACTTGCAAGAAATGTATCAGTTTTAAAATATAACATATTTTAATTGTGAATTCTGTAACTAATGTATTTATAAAGAAGTCATTTGTTTGTTTGTTATGGATTTCATGCAAAGCTACACGAGGGCAATCTGTGCTAGCCATCCCTAACTTAGCAGTGTAAGAGGGAAGACAGCTAGTCATCACCACCCACCGCCAACTCTTGGGCTACTCTTTTACCAACGAATAGAGGGATTGACCGTCACTTATAATGCCCCCATGGCTGAAAGGGCGAGCATGTTTGGTGTGACGGGGATTCGAACCCGCGACCTGCAGACTGTGAGTCGAGTACCCTAACCACCTGGCCATGCCGGGCCAATATAAAGAAGTCACTGCATAAAAAGAAACAAATTATGATAAAAAACATCTATAAAAATATTATATAAATTTTCTACATAAAAAATTTTTTTGCTTTTTTTTCACTATAGTTTTTACAGCTGCTGTTTCTCAATTCTCGAAATAATGAAGCACCAACAGCACTAACATCAGTAACTCTACAGCCGCTACATATTTAACTTTCTTATCTTTATTAATAGTTAAATATATTCCATGACACAAAAATGACACAAAAAACTACAAAATTTAAAGTAGATGAAAGAAATAGCAAAATACTTTTAGCTTTTTCTATTATTATATCTTCCTCATGATCTTCTTTTACATCAATATTTTCAGAATGAGAAGAATCTGAATGTTCACTCTGTTGAGTCTGGTTCTCAAAGTCCTCTTCTTTGGAAGCTGAGAATATAACCTAATATATGTTGACTTGAATTTACATTATCAAGGAGTGTGTTATACAGAAATTAAAGATAATTTTTATCCAACAAGTATTTAGTTACTGAAAAATACAAAAAAGGTAATTGATTTTATCTGAAAAATAAAGGAACGGTAATGCTATAAAAATTGTAGCTTTAAATATAAATTAATAATACAAGTAAAGTATAAATCTAGAGTTTTTTCAATAATGTTAAGGATATTATCAGAAAAAACTGTTTATCAAGTTTAAAGATAATTCACCAATCCAAAAGATCAATCAAATAAAAAAAGGTAGTTTTACATAAATTATAAAGTAGTCAAATACAAATCTTTAAAAACAAAAATATAATAAATATTCTTCTGAACATGATGCAAAAGTTAATTAACTGTTATTACAAAATATCTAGCTAAAGAGAAGTGTAAGTCTGTATTAGTATACCACATGGCAGTGAAGCTGATCATATGTTCTGGTATCATAAGCAAGATAATAAGCAACAAATTGAAGATGACCAAAATTCATATGCTCCCAGACCTACTTAAAAATCAATAGTTGTTTTAATAAAAAAAGGTAGATGATGAAACTGGAATCCTGTTCAACCCCTAATCTATTAAGTCTCCGGGCCAAATGGACCTTTGTACCCTTGTTTAGCATAAACATAATCTTGGAAGCCAATGTCCATGTACAATGGAGAGCCTTTGTACAGGTTGTCAAGATGTATAGAGTATTATTGCTCTCAACATCCTTCAAAAAAATGTGATTCAACTGAAATTTCGGTTTTGGCCAATAATGCATAATCATGGCTATTGGACTGAGCACAACTGATGAGGAAGGAAGTAGTTCCAAAAGTGACATGGAACTTGGGATATCTTTTTTTATAAAGTGCAGTTAACCCCATGTAAAGCTTATGCAATATGAATCTTTAGTTATGGATATAATGTGCTTTTAACTTTTTCTCTACTGGTAAAGACCATATTTAATGTTTTCAGTTTTTCACTTTCAGAAAGATTGAGTGTTCCAGTTTGTCAACAAAAGAACAAACAATTTATTTTTATTTACAAAATTAAGTATATTTAATCATTTTGTTCTGTACTCTTCTGTGTCCTGAACAGCCATCATACTAAAAATTTTACTTTTAATTCATAAAGGTAGATTGTCTGTCATAATTCCTGATGGTTTTATCAAAGATCAGAGATCTACAACATTTTTCAAATCTATAGCACAAGAAATCTAAATGGGTAATTATGTTTCATAAAACATTTGGCCATTTAAATTAGGATCTGTATAAAAATAAAAACGAATGCCTGTGCCTTTTCAATTTTGACTAGTTTAGTGTGGTGTTTTATAGTATCCCTTAATAATGGTAATACAACAAAATGTGAGTAAGTAAAAATATTCTTACAATGTCTGTTATACTCCAGTTAATGTTACGAACTTTGAAAAATGAATAAATTGATGTCTGAAGATTGATCAAATTATGTCAAAAACTGAAGAACATTATAAAAAGATATTGTTCAGAAAAAATCATTAAGACATCCAACGATCTTGTGAACGATGAAAAGCTTGAGTAAATGTATAACTCGTTGCCTTAGATGAGCAGTAACACACTCAAAGTAGCAAACCTAAGATTGAGCCAGTCATGAGACTTAATTTTCAAGATGTAATTCATTTTGGAAGATTTACGGTGGAAGTTCAATTAGCATGTCCATAAAATTGTGAACTGTTAGTACAGGGAATGACTAAGGAACTGTTGGAGTGACTAAGCAGAAACAATTTGGAAGCAGTAATAGATTAAATGTTTACACAAGAACTAACTTTACCAGCTCAACTTAGATGAATTCTCAGCAATCCAAAATTAAAGATTTATGTTCCTAAAACAAAGAAATACTTAAAGAGAACAAACTGTAAGTGATTAAGAACTTAACTATCACATCTGGTTTGATACCCTATCAATACACAAAATTATAGTTTATGAAGGCTAAATTCTACAATAGGTGCACATATTTTGATGATTGTAATTTTAACATGGCCATTTCTTTCAGAGGATTGACTTGCCGGATAACCTTCTGAAAAAGTTAAAAACATTATACTTGATCTAACCTTACAGCCATACATCTTTGAAAGCAAACAGTCAAAGGCACTGTATAAGTTGATGACACTTCTTGAAGAACAAATGTACTGTTTTACAGGTATACATTACCAGTAGATGTATGTTTACAGAAGATTTTAGGAATTTTTTTATAAAGTTTTAAAAAAATCAGCTAAATGCAAATGAAGGGTGCAAAAGCACAAATGAATTATTCACTATAGGTTTATAAATAAACAGCAGAAACAATTTAGCCTTAAGTTAGGAAAAAAAGGATAAATTGCAAAGTTCTTCTTGGTAATTGTCTTCAAAAGCTTGAAAGTATTATAAAAAATTATCAAATAATATTTCCAGAACTATAATTTTCTTACCCTACTTGTTACTGTTCTCAAGCACAACATATAACACCAAAAATTATTCTAGTTTATGCTTTTATAATTTCTAAATCATAATCCTAAATACTTTAAAAATAAATATTGGTATTATATTCTATATATGATCATCTTTCAGTATTTTTATATGACTGAATACAAAAGCTGAAATAGTCACAAAAGGAATTATTAATATGGAGTTCTATAAACCAATACTTTCATTTTATATATGTATATACAGACAGGGTGGTCAAAAATTATTTTTCCTATCTTAAAATTTGATAAGTAAATAAATAAGGAAATACAACCATACAGTATTCAACACCTTGTAGTCCAACTCAAATAGTTTTTATTGTTATGTTTTTTTCATTCCAATGAGTGGTGTTACCCCATAAAATGGCAACCTCCTTAGCCACATAGATGAAGACAACACATTTCTAGCACATGTACTGTTTAGCAATGAGGTTACATTTTATACCTCAGGTAAAGTGAACTGTCATAACATCCATGTTTGGGGCTCAGAAACCTTCTATGACACCAGTGAAATCATGCGTGATAGCCCAAAGTGCAGTCTCATGTGTGACAGGATTATATGTCATTTCAATACCAAATGATACATTAAGCCTTTTTTTGTGCAGTTACAATTTTATGGGGTAACACTACTCACTGGAGTGAAAACAAACATGACAATACAAATTCTTTGAGTTGGGATACAAGATGTTGAAAATTACATGGTTGTATTTGCTTAGTTATTTAATTATTAAATTTTGAAATAGAAAAGATAATTTTAGATCACCCTGTATGTTAAGATGAGAATGTTAAACTGATATATATGAAAGTAGCTCATTAATCACAGGAAAATATAATGAATAATTTAATATTGCTTTATCATCATCATGTTGTTGGTTACAACTTTCCAAATACTCAAAAGTAATAAACCAAAATATTTTTAAATATAGATATTTAAATAAATCTGACATTTCTGATCAAATATGTTTTGATTTAAAAATAACAAACAAGTTCCAGCATATTTTGAAATAATTGAACATTAAACAGTCAAATAACAAGTTTAAAGTTCAATAATACCTGTATTTTAACACCTAAAGTATACATATTTTCAGTTAGTTCACTTCACTAATTTCAGAAGATTGTATTTTGAATATTGAAACTTCACCAACCTGTATTTTTTTCTGTACTTTAAAAGAATGCACATTCCATCTGCTTGTATTAAAGTAACAATGAAAACTAAGCAAGTTCAAAGACTCTACGTGTATGTTAGTGAAATTCAGTAAGTTTAATTTGTAAAGAAGGAGAAAACATATTTCCATTTTTTATGAAAATGAACTAGAGAATTATATTTAAATATTAAATAAGATTGCAGTACTACTTTTGAAATGAAAAACTTAATTTCCACAATTCAAGATTTATTGCCTTATAAATATGCCATTATCCATATTCTCAGTAAGTTAGAGACTATATGGAATGTACTCTCTTTATTCATGCTTCAGAACACTTCAATTAAAGACTATTTAAATACAGTCTATGAAATGCAGTGCACCAGTCATGTTCACAAATTTGAAAATATTTGTTTGTGTTCCTGCATCCTAGTTGTTTGATTAAAAAGGTTTTGGATACAGAATGTAAAACTAAAAATGAACTGTTCCTGGTATGCAATGCTGCTGGATCTCAAGTGTAATTACAGTGAAGATTTTCAAAACAAATAAAGTTTTTATACATTTACTATTTTAATATTCTAAACATAAAACATTCATAAAGATATATTTTGATTCAATATATATAAATTAAAATCTTTATTTCACAGTAATAAAATCAAATAGTTGTTCTTTCTTAATCATCTAATAGATCTTATATATCAATACTTGGTAAAAAAAAACATCAACACTCACCAAGCTTTGCAGGACTTTGTTTTTCTTTTTGTTTCAACTTTGGATCTGTGAAAATAAGTGTCCCAGTTTTCTCATCTCTGTAAACCACAAGTTAGTTACACATCAATGACAATTACATCAAAAGTCAGCAAAAGTTACAATAAGATTTCATTATTACAAATATAAAAAAAATACAGTAATAAATACTCAACCACCTATAAAAACTTATCAGTACTGTAGGTAATCATATTGTGAATAAACAATATTTATTTTCAATTTACTGATCTTTAAGGATTCTAAAAGAATCACTTTTAACTTCTATTGATAAAATAAACAAAATCAAGAATAATATCCTGTAACATTCTACTTTTAAATTTTTTGAGAAGAAATTAATAATGTTGTTTATTTCTTAAAGATATGATTTTATTTGTATCTATGCATTTTAGCATTATAAATCAGAATACATACTTGAGGGCAAAGGTGTGGCAATAAATGCATTATTTGAAGATTAAGTAATCAACCTTCCTATTTTATAAGATACAGTAACTTATATCCAAAATCTATGAGAATAAAAAAATATGTATGTCAAATCACTTTGGAAATATATTCAAAATAATAGGTTCATATATTGTATGAACCAAAATATATATATATATTTCATAATGAAACTGGGATAAAGTTATGAAGTACAATGTGCATTGTACTTATCTGTGTTGCTAATATTCTCAGGTAAGAATTGTAATCATTCTAACAAAGTTTTGGCAGAAAAAGGAATTATGGAATTAGACTAAATGTTGACTTGAGGAAAAAGTCTGGGAACAGATCTCACAATAAAACAAATGTCCTTTATCTATTATACAAGGGCACACAAATACAAAACAAATAATTAAATTTAATCAGACATGTGACTCTTCTCTCTAAATTTTAAGAGCTCTATGTCAGGTGAAAATCTTGATAATAATGATCTAAAAAAGAATTTGGCCAAGATTGAGAAAAGTTAACATTTTCCTTGCCCGACAATATATTTCAAATAGATGCCTCTGCATATAGATTACTTATTTGATTCTTGATATTGCACTATTGTGCATGAAAGACCTGCATGCCACCACCCTTGTGAAACTCCCACCTAAACTTAACGTGAAATTGTGTTACTGTATGTAGACATATCATGCAGCTAAACCCTCTATCAATAGGAGTGTGACACTTCCTTGCACACTTGCTCCTTCTACATTTGCAACCAAAAAATCCTCATTCTTTGATGAAGCAACCAAGAAAACCACACTGGGTAAAGGATAGGAAGGGTGGAAACATATAAGGAGGTGAGTATCTATTGGAAATACATTTTCAGGTAAGGAAAATGTTAACTTCTGATAAGATCCTTCACATCTGTACAAAAATTAGCTAGTAACCCACACTGAGATGGTGAAGGGACCAGATGAAAAGATTTAAGAAGCTTCTGGCATTTTGAAGCATTTTTCGTTATTTTTAAATGCTTCAAAAATTGAGAAAATATATATCTCATAAAAAAATGCGTGTGGCACATATATATGCAATAAGAAATATCGTGCACACTTAGTGTATGTACAAGAGAAGTTATACAATGACACTTGACCAAGAAAAGAAAAGTATATCAAGTATAAACCAAAAATACCCTCTAATCAGTATTCAGAAATAGATATTTATATTATCCGTAAACCAACTCTATCATAGCAGAAAGACAGCCGTGAGAATGTTTATATCAACTATATTAGAGATTGGATACGAGTTCCATGTCTCCAAACAGACACAATCACTGCAGAGAGAAAGCTATGAGAATGTTTAAATTAGCTTCATTAAAAACTGGACTTAACTTCCATAAAATGGATTAATCAGAATTTTGATGTGAAGAAGATGAGGAGAGATATATACAAATAGGCTGCCAATTTACTGTCTTTGGCCATAACCAATTATTGAAGTATTTTTGTTTTTTGGTTCCTGAGAATTAAGATGAGTCTGCAAAAATTATCCAATTCAGTGACAGATCTACTTGTGGGTTGGATGTGTACACTATTTGGAGAATCATAAGGATACCAAAAGAATTGGTTTAAGAACCATGTTTTGGGCTCAAAGATCAGTTCCCTAAAGCTGATTGAAAAACCAGCAGATCTGTTACTAACTTGTCTTCCCAGTTCCAGACATGAAGACGTCAGTTCTTCTGAAAATCAAGAACATCCACTATCCAACAATTGCTATTTCTATTAGTCGAGTAGTGTAGTTAGAAAACTTATGTAAAATATAACATTAAGGAGAACTCGTGGATTGAAGTATTTCTGAGCTCATTTCCAATAACTTTTTAATAGATAATTGACTGGTTATAGCGAGTAATTTAATGAATACAGTAGAAGGATTAATTAATAAAATGTTAGGCACTCAGGACGAGATGTTTGATTCTCTTGATGTGGAAGCTTACAAAGATACTTTTATTGATGTTTATGAAGATGAATATTTGAATATATTATATGAGAGATTTGATACATCTTGAACCTCAGTCTTTCTTTACATTAACTGTGAATTCCTCGAGTTAGTAACTTGTGTGCTCCACTCGTGATTGTAAACTGGATTTAAATACATTTATTGTGAGCTAGATTTGAAAATTTTGTAAAGATAAATTTTTAAATATTCAAGGTAAACATATTCCTCATAGAAAGAAAAGGGTAGCTGCAAGTAATAAACCAGGTTAGTTTAGAGAGAGTATAAGAGAGAAAATTAAAGAAAAGCATCATAAACATGGTGAAGACACCTAAGATGGAGGTAGACCAACATCAATAGGAAATGGACATGGAAGAAGGTCTCATGGATCGGGAAGGAAGGATACAAAATGTGGAGTCAGACCCTGGACTGAGACAAATGGATAAGACAAAACCACGCATGAAGACAGAAAATGGTGACATATGTAAAACAAGGGACCACTTTGTGACGAGAATCTTGTTGGAAGATAATCGAACCACCACCAGATGGTAGAAGCCAGGAAAAAGGCAAGCAAAGACCACAATGTGATGACAGTGAGCTCAGAAAGGAGACCCAAGACCTAAAAGCACAGAGACCAGGATTTGGTGCCCCCTGGTTTAGTGATACAAGTGACCACAGTGTAGAGATGGTAATGTACTATCATCACCATCCCCCATAGGAGAGGAAGGAGGTGGAACAAGGCTCGAGAAAGGTGATATGGAGACTTGACTGACGAGAAACTGGAAATCTCCCAGGAGTCGAGGTAAAAACCTCAGCTCCCTAAAGAGGAGTATGGGAACAGATGTAAATCTGGATAAGGTGGAGGAAGCAACACCCCTCTGCAGTCTGGACACTTTTCAACCACCAAGTCAGGGATTTGAGAAGTTTCATTGACAAAGGAGTGTTCACCAAAGGGAATGCACGGGAGTCTGACCCATGGGAATGAGAGCTTCCAAGGAAGTCCACATCCCAAACAGATAGAACATATCAAGCCATAAGAATGATGAGGGTATGAGCCAGAAAGAAATGCAGAGGTTTTTTATGAATATGCATAAGTCCTAAGTAAACAATTGGAATTCATTCACCATAGTAGTTGTTTTTTTACATTTTATGTTTAAGTAAACATACCTTTTAAAGATTACACCAGAATTGACGTACAAAAATTTGGGGTATATGAAATTTCAAAGCTGAAATGTTGATCATGATGGGATGAAACCTTAAATTCTTATCTGAGGTGATCAGGTACATCACAGTGACCAATACTAATAAATTAAGAGAACGAATTCATCAAATTAGCATGGGTTAGATCTCAAGAACAGGATTAATATGTTTGCTTCTGTGTAGAGCAATACAATTGTGAATAAAAGGTTGCAAAGTAAAAGCTAAGGATGTTGAAATGATCTGTGACATAGAAGATGTCAATGAAGTAACATGGTAATGAGGTCCAACCTAATGTTGAGAAGATGAATGACTCTAAAATAAAGATGAGACACATATGCCCAAATCAACTTCTTCTGACATACTTCTTCTGTATGTGAAACAACTTTGCAAGATGTATCTGCAAACAGATATTGTTGCAGAAAGGAAGTACGTTTAAGTTCAGTCACATTATTAGCAGGGAGATTAGTACATTGTAAAACAGCTGTATAAGCAATAAATCAAATGAACTGAGCATCCATGTTGATAATGAAACACATCAGTAAAGAAAGTTGACAAAAAACTGCCAAACAGAGAAACATTATTGAGAAAAATAAATGGGAGATCAAGATTAGTCTATACCTAAAAGTGGGCCGAAGAAGCCATCTCAAAACAAGACTAATAATTATCATCTAAACACAGAATTTGTCGAGAATATACAGAAGAAGTCCACATACATGACCCCCCCCCCCCAATAAGAAACTTGAAGATCAACTGTGCTGTCATATGAATGAATTTAGATGACCCTTATCAAAATAATCAGAACATCATGAACAGAAGGCATGTGATGAGGTTAGGTTGATTTCAAAAAGAGTCAGCAATAACGCAGATATCAAATGAACAGAAAAAAAAATAATGATTCTAATACAAAACCATACAACATATTTACATTACTACACACCCTACTCAAAAGCTAAATCGGCTCAACAGAAGTCATGCGGAAGGTGGAGATATGGAAAACTATGGGTAGGTAACATGTAAGTATTGCATTGCGTCAAAGACATTCAGAAGAGTCTAACTGTAAGTAAAGGTAAGTATGCCTGTCCTGAATCATTAGGTTCAAGAAATTTAAGTCTTAGCATTTACATTTTTATGTACCAATTCTAGAATCTGTAAAATTGTGGTTTTACATTATTATTCATATGAAATCATAGGAATTGTAATTTATCTTTACTTTTTAGTTCTAAAACTCATTATTCTCTTACATATCCTTGAAATAACTTTGTTAATTGTCATCATCAATATATACTAAATAAGCTTAAATAAGCAGAGTTTATAAGAACTGATTATTCATATTATAGATATAATTTATACTATGTATCTTAATTAAACCTGATACTTCATTAATTAATTGAATACATTAATTTTTATGTGCAAATCAAATACTTATTTATACACACAAGCATTAAAATTTTGTTTTTATAATAGAAGTTACTTTTGTGTCAAAATCTAAAGTTTGCTTATAGAAAAAAGTATGTTTTCTTATGTAATTCAAATAATAACATACAAGCATTCATTAACCCAAAAACAGCAAAACAAAGTTTGGTTGATCAAAAAATTAAAATACTAACTGAGATAATTTTAAACTATGACATGAATCGAATAAACATGAAAACTAATCATATTATACGTCTACAAGTACCTCTCGAATTTCTTATTCTTTGATGGTTTACTTTCTTTTTCTGTGCTTCTGGTGGATTCTACTTCTGCAATAATAATATAAGTCAAGTATATGTATTAAATAATGAAATTAATTCTAGAGTAATTTAAAATGTGCAGATACAAAATGTATAAATATCATAAATGAAAAAAATATATATTGCAAAGACTTTCTTGAGATTATAAAGTAAATCATATTTTAAATTGTGATGCATTATATTCTTGGGTTGTAAGAGTGCTATTACTCTAGTCTAATTAATAATTCAATCCAAAATCAGCTACTGCATTGTGTAATTAAATTTGAAATTATTGTTATTTTCTAATTTTTACAAAATAGAAATATCATACAAACATACTCAATGATGTAAACCATTTCAAGCATTTTTTTTCCACATTTCTCTAAAAGATTACTACAGTTCCCTTCAAATTACACTCTGTTCTCTCCAAGGTATATCAAATAAGTTGCATGAATTTCTGTTCACAGCATTTTACTTAGATACTGTACACACTAAATCACTCACTTGTTGTAGAATCACCTTATTTATACAAAACTTTAATATAAGAATTCTATCAATGATAAACCTGAAATACACTCAAAACACACTAACAAAACTATTACTAATTTCATATAAACAAGAACCTTCCAAGTGAACCAATACATCTAGAATTATGTTTGAGACATTTAACTTCACATACCACTAGATGGTTAAAATTTAGGAAAGGAAACATGTAAATTTAGTGACAAACAATATATCAAGTATAACTGATAATGTACTTGGTGAATGTGATATAGTTATACATCACAGTATGTTTAAAATTTTCATTATAGGACATGACAAAAATAATTTGCACATTATAGAAATGTTGTTGATGAAAGAATTCAAAAACAAGATTACTACTATAAAGATTATAGTGGCTTTCGTTCACAATAATTAAAGGAGCCATAAATGCCTAATCATACTTTTAAATTTAATACAGTGCAGTACTACTTTTATTGATGGAATCTTATGTGGAAGAGTCATATCACTTTTATATTAATAATGTTTCTTGTCATACTGAATGATGAATCTAGCAGTGGTTTGAGACAATAGCATCCAAAATTTGTTTTGGTTACCTCAAAGTCAAGACTAACATTTCACAAATCTCTGAGATATTTTGAACTGAAGAAGCAGCTTCAGGTTCTCATTAAGCTTAAAACTGTTTGAAAGAAAAGCAAAAATTTGTAATCTACTATGCGTAATATACTGATAATGTGGCAAGTGTTAATAACAGTCTATGATGTTTAACATCAATTTCAGGTTTCAACAACAAAACACAACACACCTTCTCAAGGAAACATTGACAAATTAAAAGCGAGAGATGAAAGTCACAGCTGGATAGGAGCAGGATAGCAAGAATTGGATCTATACAGAGGAACTAACTGGATGAAGCTCACTGAGGTTAGTCAATATCACAGAGATAATTCTCTCTAAAGGACTTACAACAGCCAATTGGGCTAAAAAACAATATAGAGAAGCAAAAATCAAAAGAAACCAAAAATAAATTTTAACCTACATTTTCACACTTTTTTAAAGAAAAAAAATCTAAAATTCAAAATGTCTACCAAGTAAAAATGGAAATTACAATTTAATATTTCTTTACTTATAAAATTACAAACACCAGTAAGAAAAAGAATGAGACAAGACTGCACGGAACACAACAAAAAAAACTATGCAAGATTTGTACATGGAAAGTGATAATGGAGTTTTGATAAACTGACATATCAGTAGTATTGTTTAGACTTCTGATTTTTTAATACTTGGGAAGTAGGTAAAAAAAAACCTTAAAATTCACATAAAATAATTGTTCATCAGGTTTCTAAATATTTTGTTAACGTGGGAAGTATTTGTTAGTTTTAAGATATTCTCACAAGAGCTTTGTGCTAGTTATCTTTAATTTTGAACTGACAGACTAGAGAGAAGACAGCTGGTCAGCAGTACTCACTGCCAACTCTTGGGCTACTCTTCTTTGACCAAATAGTGATTGTCAATCTTATAGCATACTCACAGCCCCAAAGCTTTGATAAAGTTACACAACACAAGTATAGTTCATACTTCAGGATATTTTTCATTATTTCTAGTTTTGTTTGTTTAATACTATCCTATTGTTGTGATGTGATCTATCGTTTTGACGGTATTTTTGGATTATTTTGTAAACATAATGTGAATTCAAGTTCTTGTAACAATAACAAATTACCTTATTTTTTTAATAATTTTGCTACAAGCTATATTCATGATTATGTCTAACTTTAGAAACAACTTTTCAATAGAAATTTTGAAATGAACGTATGGTTAATTATTAACTCACAAGTGAACTTACTTGCAGGATTTTGTTGCTAATCACTTCATAACAAACACAATAAACCCGCTTACTAGCTAAATCACAGAGGAACAAGCTCATCAATTCTTACTGTCTAATACACTAACTGACTTTGATCTGATTAACTCCTAAACTAACTTTAGCATTCGTACATTATACTATTTGTATGTATGTATTCCAGGAAGCTTCTAGGTGTTGTTATTATTACAAGCTACCTCTAGCAAACAAACACCTAAATTAAAATATAGCTTACAACACTATTATAAATTATCTATTTCTTGCAATGCTATACTTTTTGTAATTGAGTATCTATTCAAAATTTACTTGAAAATCAATTTTGCAGAAAAATCAGACGTGACCCTCTAACACTAGAAAAGTACCAGCTCCTTTTTTTTCTTTTCATTGTGGACCTTTGCCTGTGGGTCCAATCCCAACTGTTATTTTATTTTTTTCTTTATTTGGGTACACTCAGTAAGCTCCTTTCAAAATATATCTGCTACAGCTTTCTATCATAAGCTCCATTAATTATTCGTGAATTAAAACCTAATTTTAACAAAACACAGGTGTCACCCTATATGTTTTCTAAATTGGAACAAAATACTTGCACAATATTTCACACAATAGATACAAGTTACCTGATGATAGCGAAACGAGTGGTCAAAATGTCGTAATAAAGTTAATCAAAAATTAAAAAATAATCCACTCAAAAGTTGTACCTCTGGACTTTTATTTATACTTGTTTGTATATTAGCATTACTTTTAACAGTTATATGATGGACAATTTGATTATCATCAATTTGAAGGAACTTTCACTGTACCATTAGATATCAGTTGATACGTACATAATTATGAAAGCAAAAATAACCAAATTCTAGAATTTCATTGAAATATGACCGTTTCCATATAAAATGGGTTTTTGGGATGGATGATTTCTGTCAGGATAAATCCATCCATTTTCTTTATGATTTCCACCACTTCATCTCATATATATTTTATGTCAGGTTCTACTTACTACTTTGTGGTAGCTTGTTCAATATTGCTTTTCTCCTCTTCTTCTTTGTGTACTGGAAAGAGACTCACTCTTTTTTTTTTTTCCTCCCTGACTTTGTTCTAGCAACCATAAACATCACTGCTTTATCCTGACAGGTCTTGCCTGCATCTTGATAGTTGGCTGTTCTCAGGCCCTTTAATTGATTTTTTCTTGATTAATGGCATTTCTTATGCCAAAATTTGTATTGATCTTCTCAGATTTTACTAAGCATGTTATTGTGGCTACAAAAGCTTCAGTTCTTGGTTTGGAGCTAGTATGACTCCGATGAGAGAAAAAAATGGACAATATTTTTACATATACAAGTTGTGTTTTATCTTCTTCGGAACTGAAATATTCTGTTATCAAATGCAAAATTTTGGCTGTCCAAAATTTTCCTTTCTTCATAGCTTTATTATATGCCAAGGATTTCCTGGAATCTTTTTCTTCTGGATGATTCAGTTGGGAAAAATTTCAGTGCTCTTTTAAATATCAACCACGCATTTTGAACATTTGTTGGTAATATGTTGTCTTACCATTCTCATGAATTATTTTCTTTTTTAGCAAGCCTAAGTTCAAAATATCATACATGGCATATATTTGTATATTTCTCCATTTTTTATTCAAAACCATCGGAACTTTATATCTTTAAGACATTTACAAGTTCTTAAAAAACAATTCTTGGAAAACAATGTGAAAAGATTTAAAGAATTATGCTCATTCATGTCAAAGACATTCATACAGACATATTGAAATTTGTTGGTTTTAAAACTGATTCAACAATCTTAAAACATATTTTTCGTGTCATGTACTCTTTATGGTCATCGCTACATCTTGATTATTCTGAACTACTTAGGATTAGTTGTTTTCATTTTTGAGGTTAGAGCTGAGTCAGTTGCTGGGATATTTACCAAAGAAATCATTTTTCACACATATAAATTACATACATTCTAAAGCACAGTCCAGTCATACTGTTGTTAAAGTGATGCTGTTACCTAAGCCTGATAATGTGACTTTCAGTCAGCTTTTGTTCAGAAAACAAACAGGTCATAGCATAACTGCAATCAGCAATTTACACCAGAAACATTTTGATGCACAGACCTGTGTTTACCACAATATTTTAAAGCTTAATCTTATATCTGAAGATAAGCCTTTGTATACTAATACACTCTAGTTTATATGAAGTGTACAATCTATAGTTTTCATTAAAAGATAAAATCAAACCTGAGTACAGGTTGTTTATCATAGTTTGAAAATGTACAAGTATCAGTCAAGGATAGATATCTTCTTCTACCTGTATATAATGAAAATACTTTTTGACTGAAAGACTACCTCATAGTAAAACAAAACTGACATAGGATGAGTAAAAAGTTTATTTAGCCCTATAAAATAAATTTTAAATAGTTTAACAACTCATCAAAAAAATATAATTTTCCTTTTCAGGTATTACCATAACATTTGTTTAGCATACCCATATAAGATAGTACCTACTTATCCCATATTCAACAAATATACATTTTTTGAACATCTAAGATTTTGAATCTTACTACCATTTTAACTGACAGTGAAACTGTGAAAAATTTTAGTTTTGTTATCTTTCTTCTTTCTCATCAATGTGTTCTTAATATTTCAAATTGCTGAAAACAGCAAAAAAATCCAAATTTATTTTTATGAATAAATTAAAAATTCAATATTATATATTAGTTTAGGACTTTGCCTATATTTAAATTAAAAATAACAAAAGAAATAAAAGACTTGATAATAGATATTTACACAGATAATAATGTTAGTAATTTAACTTTGAACATAATTAAAATCAAACCTCTTTTCAATGAATTAACTGGCACAGGTTGTGGTGCTTCTGACATACTATCCCAGTCACTTCCAGATTCATCATCATCATTTCTTTTATGACCAACAATCTCCAAGAAATAAAATATGATACTGATATTTATAGCTATATTTATGATTCGGTCAAATATTTTTGATTAGAAGCTTCATTATAATAAATACATTAATACAATTTTCTAACAAATACTCTTATAATAACAAACATTAAATTTTTCTGTAAAAATGAATCACTAGATGACAGTTTGAAACCAGAGGGAACCTTTTAAATTATACCCACAGATGACTGAGTAAAATTCAGTTTAGGATGGTAATAAGGATAAATGTATGAACTTAATAAACTAGACTAAAAAGGAACCATTTTCCAACAAATTAGAATACTTTGTACTTTGATGATAATCTTTAAATACATGTGTAATTCATATTGAGTCAGAATGGTGAGATAAATAAAAGTAGAATGCTATGTGATACACTATCTGGCGAATAATATTCCCTACATGAGATGAATGTGGTCTCCCACTAGCCCCCCTCCCACCCACAGTGGATGACAAGATATATATATAATTCATGAGTTTTCCTATTGTCTTTATTACACCATTTCCTCTACTACCTTATCATTGTGGGATTCCAAGTATTAATTATGTGTAGAAATGAGTAGTTTCTAAAGTTAACATTTTTCTTCCCTGAAACTAGATTTAAGATAGATACTCACCCCCTCCACAGAACCTTAGCACTGCCTCCCTACTTTCATTGAGTTTCTTTTGCATCCTCAAGAATGAACCTTGGTTAACACACAATATGCTCATGGGGTCTACTGAGCATGGAGGAAATGTTGTACTCCTATTGGTGGGGGCTTTTGTCTAATGCTAAGTGCATGTAGGGGCTGAAGTTTTCTTCAAGGCTTGATATATGTGCAAAAAATATTTTTAGCAGTGGGACAAGGTAATAGCTATCAATTTTGTGGTGAGGTATCTTTCTGAAATATATTTTCAGGTAAGGAAAATGTTAACTTTATGATCTATGTTGTTCTTCTTGTCTCCTGTAAGCATAGCGAGTAAACAGGTTAAAATGTATTTTCTTTAAACTTTATATATTGTAGAAACAAGCAATGAATTATGTAAAAGTACAGTCAGAGTTCTAGCTAAACCCAAACTCCTGTGCCCCATGGATAAGAGAATTTGTCGGGAAACATGAGATTTGACCCCACCTGGGTACCGAATATGCACCAAAAAAAACCATATGCAAGGCAAGCATAAGTACTTTGCTTTGAACTTTAAATTTGTACCATAACAAACTAAACAGCATACAGTTTGCCCACAGATGTACACAATCAACTTCTAACAGGTTTCATCAATCACAATAAATTGAACAAAAATAAAGCCATGTGAAAGTGCCACATGATTAACCCTTTCACTTTGGGTAGATCAAAGTGCGCATGTCACAACCTTTCACAGAAGTTACATTCAAAATTTAATTAAACTGCTTTATTATCAATATATATGAATTAACTTGGCATCAAAACACTGATAATAAATATGAAAAAACATTGTGACAGTTATGGAACATTGTTTCCTTTTTAAATTTTATTATTTTGTGTTCTTTGATGCATTATTTAATGCAATAGAACCATTACTATAATAAAGTAGGGTTAAGTTTCATCTACAGTCAAAAGCAAAAAAAAAAAAACTCAGGTAAGTACTTCATTCTTGTTTTTCATTTGTATTCTTTATTTATAAAAGTAACTAAAATGTAAAAATTGAAATTTGTTTAGGTTATATAAAGTAAATTAAATAATAATATTAATAATAATAATTTTTATGTTTACAAGTAGTCTGTGCATTATGTATTTGACACCATAATGTGAGCTGCACCTTCACCACATGATTTGTAATTTATTACAGCATGAATAGTAGTTACGGCAATAAAACAATAGAATTTATATATATAAATATATGTATATTGTTACAAGCTTTAAGCTACTTAGGATAAACAATTGTAGTTTTCTGTTACAATTTGCAATCTTTCCAGAAAGAAAATCTGGGAAATTTAAAACTATTTCTTGATGTTTTATAGTGGTTATTAGGTCAGTCAAATCAACTGATCTCATATACAGTTACGGTAAGAAAATAACAGATAAAATATACAGTTTTTCTGAAAAACAAAACAAAAAACATTTGATATTTATTTAGGAGGTTTTAGGGGTTATGTAAATGATACTTGAAAATTTTCAGATGGAGAAAAATAAATTTAATCTCATCATGACAATTACTTTGCACTCATAAGGAGAAACATGCAGTGTAAACTGTAAATAAAGTTTTCCATTGAACAGTAACATGCTTTTTCCACTTGCAGAAGGTAAACATATATTGTACGTTGTAAATGAAGTTCTTCATGGATACTGAAGTGTTTTTTTTTTAGTTTTTTTTATTTTATTCAATTCAGTCAATGGGACCCTAAAAATTAGTTTGGGGACCATGAAAATCTCACTGGGACTCTTGCAAAAAAAAAAAAAAAGTTGAGAGTCCAGGACCCTTCACTATGGGACACTAGTGAGAACCCTGAGCTTTATTTGTTATATAACATTCCACAATCATGGAATTAATTTTATTTTTATTGCCATGTACTAATTATGGATATTCCTATTTATATATTTTATGATTTAAGATAAGAATGCCAATTTTCTTTAATTATTTCAGGTTATAAAACAAATGTTAAACTCTGTTATGGAAGAACTACATGAATGAAAAATGGTTACTCATATAAGCCACTGCATTAGAAACTACAATTAAGGATCAGCTGATATTAAACACGTTTACTATACGTGCTGATACCAAGTTGCTCTCCCATGGCTTATTCATTTATATCTGTTGTTCTAATTAGTTAATAATACACATGATAATAAAAACCTTTAATAATATCAATTGTAAGTGAAGTGATATTCTTACTTAAAATCGTTTAATTCGATAAAAACAATTCAAAATTAAATATATTTCATAAGTATTTTTAAATCTATAGTGTTATGGTGCTAATCTGACTTAAATTTTTCTGCAAGTAATTAGATTACCTGTGGTTGCTAACAGTATTTGCACTGAACAGTAGTTTGATACCTTAAATCTACCTAGAAAAATGTACATAGCTAGTTTAATGTGAACATTATGATTTAGATTCTTTATGTAGTACAAGTGTTGAAGTAAGTGATTTTTAGAAGTGATAGTTATGGCAAGTTTGCTTATGTAACTGTTTATGAATCACTTGTTGCATAGTTCAATTGCTGTGAAATTGAACTTCTGAATTTTTCTTGTTGCCTTACGTGAGCATAATTATATGATAGCATCTTGTAGTTTGTTGAAAGTTCTAGGCCTTAGTAAGGCAATATATATGCAACAAAGTTAGTGGAAGTATTTTAAGTTTGTGAAAGCAAAAATAAAAATGAATTTATACTGTGTGAGTTTAGCTGTAATGGGCAATTTCTAAAGTGAGTTTCACAGCTTGTATTGTAATAACAGAGATAGATAAGAAGAATTTCTTTTGTCAAAAGATGTTCTAAAGTAATTAAACCCATCTGTGTGGACTTTGAAGAAGACAAATGTTTAAAGCTTTGGATACAAACTGTGATAACCAATAATGAATTTTTGTACATATGTTTGACTTGTTTTGAATATATTGTTTTAAAACGAGTAGATTGTGTGCTATATGTTTAATGTTGAAATATATCACCAACAAGTCACAGACACCTACTGTAAAGAATCCAGCCCCTATAAAAACCTGACATACACATATATATTAATTTCATTGCCTGAAAGATATTGAACAGACTTAGTTGAATGGACAGCAATTGCCTGCTGTACAAACACAAGTGTGGATGACAACATTTCAAAAGTATTCTGCCTTTCATCTTCAGGAGAGCCATTCAGCAGAATATTTATGGACTTGATTGGACCACTAGCACTATTTCTGACAAGGGCAACTGGTATATGTTGACAGTAGTTGACTATGTGAAATGTGACCCAGAAGCCATAGCATTGCAGAAGATAGAGATGGGAGTACCAGAAGCTCTCCTGGAAGTGTTTTGCAGAGTAGGCTTTCCAAAAGAAATCCTGAGTGCCAGAGAGAGACTCAATTTACTTTAGAACTGATGCAAGAGGTGTGCAGACTCAACAGTAGAAGGCAACTGTTTACCACCCTATACAACCCTAGATGTACTGGACTTTGTGAGAGAGTCAATGGAGTCTTAAAGGGCATGCTGAAGAAGATGTGTCAGAAGAGACCACATGACTAGGACAGGTAACTGCATGCAGTATTACTTGCTTACCAAGAAGTCCCATAAGGAAGTACAGGTTTTTCACCCTTCGAGTTGCTGTACAGAAGAACAGTATGAGGTCCAATGGAGATACTGAAAGAGCTGTGAACAGAAGAAGAAGAATCAGAAGTGAGGAAAAGATATCAGTATGTGTTAAACCTCAGAAACCAACTGGAAGAGACCTGTCAATTACCTTAAGAGAGCTTGTATGCAGCTCAAGGCAGTCAGAAGCACTTCTGTGACAAGACCAAGAATCAATGTTTCAAGGTCAGACAGAAGGTCTTGGTTATGCTGCCTACAGACAACAACAAACTCACCCTGCAGTGGAAAGAACCTTTTGAAGTGCAGGAAATAGTCAAAAGAATGGAACATACAGTAAAAGTAGATGGGGAGACCAAGATCTACCATGTCAATCTGTTGATCAGGAACTTTGAAAGGGAAGAAGACCTCACAGGTGCAGCTATTGAGGCACAGATGGATATGGCAATTTCAGTTCTTCACTGAATGGCAAGCAGAAGAAAGGGCTACAAGATCTACTGTGCCATTAGGCAGATATCTTCACAGATAGACCAGACAACACAGACCTTGTGTAACACAAGAACGAGACCATGACCAGGGATCCAGTCAAGCTCTATCAAATGCACTATGTGAAGAGAGACCATCAAGGGGACTGCAAATGTTGATGCAGATTATAGGAGGAGGCTTTCTGTATGAAATGAAAGCATTTATTGCATATAGTGTAATAAATACTTTAAGTATTTTACTTGAAGAGCACTTTATTGTTGGATATACATGAATAGCTGTTTCATTTAATTTTTAAGTTTAATGTGAACATGATGATTTAGATTGTTTACACAGCACGAGTGTTAAAGTAAGTTATTCTTTGAAGTGATAGTTTTGGCAAGTTTGCTCACATAATTGTTTATGAATCATTTGTTGAATAGTTCAATTGTTGTGAATTGAAGTCATGTTACATGAACCTTCTGAATTTTTTTTGTTGCTTCAAGTGAATATTGTTACACCATAATATATATAGGTGACCAAGTTAGTGGAAGTTAGGGAAATCAAAAGTAAAAGTGAAGTAAAGCTGTGTGAGTTTAGCCATTATGGGTGATTTCTAAAGTTAACATTTTCTTAAACTATAATGCATTTCTGATAAATACTTACCTTCTCTCACAAAAACCTTTCTTGACTTATACTGCCCTCTATTGGTGCAAACTTTTGCTTGCCACTAGCCTTGATTCTCCCACTTATCTCTGCATCCTAACATGCAAATGATAATGCAGCAACCCTCCACCAATGAGAGTGTGACACTACCCCTATCATAACTATCGCCCTCTCTAATGTTGCAGCTGTTAACCACTTCAAGATTGGTCAGATCACACTGAACCACACCAGAAGTGGGGAGGACAAGTGGGAAATGTGAGAGGAGGTAAGTATTTATTGGGAATACATTTTCAGTTTAAGAAAATGTTAACTTCTGATATATCTTACCTATATGGCCTGGTATGGCCAGGTGATTAGTGGCATTTGACTCACAAGCTGAGAGTCAAAGGTTCGATTTCTCATCCCACCATACATGCTCGCCTTTTCAGCCATGGAGGGTGTTATAATGTGATGGTAAATCCCACTATTCATTTGGTAAAAGAATAGCCCAAGATTTGGCAGTGGGTGGTGATGACTAGCTGCCTTCCCTCTAGTTTTCACTGCTAAATTAGTGACAACAAGTTTACAGAAATAATGGGACCCCCCCTGGGGTGTATAGTGGTTAGGGCATGACAGAACATAATGGGGAATTCGACCTCAATCAATACCTGGTGGCATCTGGAATTGTACATAATGATTCATGGTAGGAAGATGATCCTCTTTCTTTAACCTCAATAATGGGTAATGGCAAGGAAGAGGATCTTCCATACCCAAACCCCACCACTGCAGGTGTGAACCTCCCACACAACTAACACCAGATACACCAGGAACTGACATACAGCAGATGGTAGGACGATAGAGGCCCAGGTGGTGTCCATCCCCTGTCCAAAACTTGGCAGCATTGGAAATTTTTCATTCAGTCCATGGTTAGGAGGAGGGTATCCAGCCTTACACCTGTCATAAAAGCTGTTGCAATTAGTTTTTATATACTGCATTTAATTAGACTTATCCATAAAGATGTAGTATAAATTAAAAGTCTCTTTTAAAATATTTCCTAATTGCAAAGTCATAATGCCACTCCATTCCTAGGATATTTTGACTCAAAGCATGAAAGAAATTCATTGTATATTAATGTGTTCATCACAATGGCCAATAAAATGCTAATCATATATAATTGCCCAAAATTATATGTAACAAAATAAAAATAAGTTGCAATAATCTACCTAAAGTTTATGTTCAAGTGTTGGGAAGACAATATGTTATTTTTTCCCCAATATCTGTTGTTGTATGGGATAAAAGTACAGATACACTTGGTTTAATGACAAGAAAACCAAGTTACTGAAATGAAAATACTTAAAATTATTGCTTAATATTTCAATGCCAATGCCTGTACAACTTATTTTAATATATTTCACTGTGGCTTTATGACTAGAGGATGAAAAAGCTCATAGAAATGTATCTGAAATTAATTTCAAGTTTGATAATAAATCTAAAAATGGTAAAATGTATTACTGTTTCTTGCAAAATACTGCTAAAAATTGTAATATCATAAAACAAAATGGAATTAACAACAAGAACAATGAATACAAGCTTCAGTACATTATATTAGAATTATTTTGAATATGGAAATCAGCAAGTCTTGTGACAATCACAGCCACTACAATGTCTTGACGAAATAGAATGCATCAAAACTACATTTTTCCACTATTTGGCATTTCATAGGTAGTATGATACCAATAAAAACTGGTTGCTTATGCAACATATTCATACATATACCCAAATTATAAAGATGTTATCATATTATAGGCTTAGAATTTCCAAGATGGGAATACCCCTTATACTTAATGGAATTGAAAAAAACATATATTAGTCAACTTGAAACACTAGGTCCATCTTGATAGAGACATGCAACAAGTTGAACCCCAGTTGTGGTAAAAAAAGTGCAGCATCTTTTAAGAGATGGAAATCCATGAATGCAAAAGTCAGTAACAAAAACCATACCTTGAGCCAGAGGAAAGAGTACCAATCATATTAAAGAGGGACCTCCATCTCAAAACAGGGCCTAAAGGTTTTATCAAGATAAAGCTTCTAATCATACCTCTAATTCAACTGTCACATACATAAAACTGGAGAATGAAATGGGTATTTATGCAATTCTATGGAAAAAAATAAATAAACTGTCAAGTCACCAGACACAGTGCCTATGGGTTTCTGTGCAAATGTACTGTTGGAATGAGCACTGAGAAACTGTAGTACTTGTACACTAGCAATATTTTTAAAAACAAACCATGATGTTTTGAACACTGAACATAACAGCCTTATGATGGAGCATTTTGCAGTGGAAGCCAAACTGCAGGGCTAATGTCAAGATGTACAGTCATAAGATAGAGCATGACTGGGCAAGGCAACATCATGGCCTGTAACAACATGGGGAGGGTACAAAATCGTTTTAATATAAGATACTCAACCCTCTCTAAAAGTTTTCAATATATTCTTTACATTATATGTACACTTCATATGGTCACTTTGTTTTATTATGATTTCAAATTAATATAAATCTTCAATTATACATGTAATTAACACAATTAGACTTACCATTGTTAATCTCTTAGGTTTGCTTGTAGCAACAATTTCTTCTTTTCAGGTTGCAGTATTTATAAAGCCACTTTATAATTTCCTATAATACATACAAAATTTTCTAGTAATAATTAGAAAAGCATATAATAAAACACTGCTTTAATTATATCTAATAAAAGTTAATTAACCGCACACAGAAATATATAATGGAAAAATTTAAAAAAGTAAGTCCATAAAACATTATTGATTTTCTGATGGTAACAATTATCTTCAGTTTGGGTTATATTGGTGTGAAATGGACTGATAAACTGTTGAAGAAGAGTGATTAAAATTATTTGTTAATTGAAAGAAAAAACATTGTTTTACATGGTTGAGATTTACCTTCTTAGGATCAAAAAGGACATATAAAATTTTAGTCACTTTCATATCAACTGTGTGGGAGAGGAGACATCCAGCCTACTGATCGTACTTCTTATTAAGGTTTTTTCAACTCTGTATTGTTTTCAGAATCTATATAATAAAATTAATTAAGGTTTGCCCTTTACTTATGAACTTCAAGAAATGTCCTATAAACTTCTTATTGCATTCAAACTGTTTTTCTTCTTCTGAAAGACCTGTATCCAACCAGAATACCAAGATGTATCCACCAAGAATACCAAAATTTTTCACTCAGGTAGGATTTTGACTTGTGTATACATATTCAATACAGTTTGTCTACACAAGAAGGATAAATCTCATAATTAAATAAATCAAACTGCCTTATTATCAAATAAAAAATAATCTCACTCAATCAAGCCATGCAGCTGCCTTGTTGTAGGTTTTACTAGATTTATATCATATCTCCACGGCATAAAATTTCGTTTTTCCAAGCTATTATCTTTTTCTTTTCCCCCCACAAAACACTTTTTATATCCTATTAGTTATCAGAATCATTAATATTCCTCAATCATTCTTCTAACTTTTGCATATACGTTTTATTGCCAAACCACACATAACCATTCTTACATATCCCATATATGGAGTTGAGTCACCCTCCCAAGTGTGAACAGATGAATGATGTTGTTCACTTTCCTTAAATACCATCATTGACTAAAATAAATGAATATTCCATTTATCTTCTTACCATCACAGAATTTACAGAATGTATTCTTCTTCCTCTTCCTTAAGTCACAAAAGCCAAACAATCTCAGAATGTATAAACTCTACCTACCAGAATTATTTGGCCCTTCTGGCCAAAGAGTATCATTTTAGAATATCTGCAGGAGAAGGCAGCTACCATGTTTGTGAGCTTATCTTTCCATTTCCCATGTCACTTAAAAGATGTGTTTTTAGCATAAAAATCTACAAACAATTAATAATAATTTTTCATAATTATGAGTACCATACAAATTACAAAACGTCTCTATGACCATTCTGCTTTAGGTCTTCAATTGATTGGGTTTTGAATATCTTTTCTGTTAGTAGTGTTTTCAGCCTTTAATTCAACAAACAACAATTAATCTTAAGGTATCTCTGTTATAGAATACAACATAAAAATTCTAATTCAAATGGTATATTACACACTTCTTACTGAAATATGGTCAGTGAAGAAAGATGTGTTGAAAAACGTTTTTATTCTTTCTCAGTAACACATCATGTTTTGCCAGCTATGCATTATAACTTCATATGTTTTTGGTGTTTTTTCTATTAAGAAAACTTATAGTCTTGGTAATGTAACACATCAAACATAAATGTCAAAAATAAGCTTGAGAATGATTCATGATTAAAAAATTATTGGAAATTCATTTGCAAAATAAATATATACACACACATATGAACACACATGTATGTATGAGGTTTAATTGGTTCGGTATTGTAAATTCTAGTATAAATACTAATATTGAAATATTATGATGATACAATGATGATGATAATATTATGAATAATATCAATAATAACCACTATTGTCCAGTGCCCTGATGATAGTTAATTGTACAGTCACAGAAACATTTGTGGATAAAAACAATTACACAGTTGGTGCCACTATAAATAATCATGATAAAATACACAAATACACACACATATATATAAATATAGCCCAAAATTTCAGAGTAATTCACACTAACAAGGAAGTTCTTGATGTTAAGTCTGATAAGAAGCACTGCAAAACAATGTCTTCAATGAAGGAACATAGAATTTTTGCAATAATTGTTAGACACCCATAATAAGTCATTACTTTATATATTATTGGACCTATATACTCACAGCCAAGTTCACAAGATTAATATAAATTCTCTGCAGATTTCTGACATCCAACCTAATAAAAGCTTTTACGTACTCTCGCTAATCCTACTGTTACAACAGTGGAAGTCACATGACACTGGGAGCATGTATGCTGGAGTTTCTAGAAGGATCATGAATTATCGAGGAACCCCGCAAATGTCCGAATGTTTGCCAGGTGCCCTCTTTTTTAGTATATAAGCCCAGCAAATAAAGCCAGCGGTAGAGAGATATGCAGATAGATTGAAGAGATAGATAATTGAGTCAAGCGAACAGTAGGCACCATAAGTAAAGTGTGTGAATCACTATGATTTATAGCGTGTGTTATAAAGGTTGTTAAGTTTCAAGTGACTGTGGAAATTTTGTGTACTAGAAAGTTGTATCAAGAAAGAATAAACTTGTTTTAATTAAGAAAGGACTTGTATCACTGAAGTTCCTCAGAAAGAATTTATATAGAATCTTACATTGATTTGGAGGAGGGACCGATGTGAGGGAAGAACAGAAGGATACCTCTACAGATTAGAGAGTCAGATCAGAAGATCTGAAGAGGTGAAATCCTCCACTTTTGAGCCATGTATACTCTTTGTCCATACGTGGAATGTGTAAAGTATCAGGGTGGAAAACAAGAGGAACACAGCAGAGTGGGAAAGAATGTGGTAGGAAATTAATCCTAACCAGAGAAAGATATTGTAAGTCAATCCCATAATGAGAAAAGTGGGTAAACAAGAATGTGCTCCTGGATGTAGAGTGGCTAGAGCATGGCGGACCATACTCAGTAAGTCAGCTACATCCAAAACCTCCTCGTTGGGTACTGACATCTTTGGAAGGATAGGATGAGGATTATACCATCTTCACCTCAAACCCAAGAACCAGAGAACTGAGAACCACTCTGATTCCTGGATACGACACAAGGATTAACTCTGAGCAATCAATCCAGGAACTTGACATGTGGTATCAAAAGGATTTCTATCACATGCAATCAACTCCTCCAACTGTGAAACAGGCTGTGACCCTCCAAATGGCAATAACATCCCCATAAGAAAAGAGAACAAGGGATAACCAAGGACAGAACTGGAACAATCCCATATAACACTACTATGAATCACAACACAGATAGAGGTAATTGAGGGAGGAAGACAGACAACCCAAAACCTGTGTGAGAACATATGTTGATTGGTTCACTCTAAATCCAAAACCTGCCAATGGGGTACCAACATCCACACTAGAGTAGGATAAGGGCTCTCAATTGAAGGGGTGAACTGCAATCTGATGTCTCACTCCATTGTATTGATTAGCACAAATTGGAGGATATTACATCATCTACACCCACAGAACACCACCACCACCTTACTCTTCACTGAATGATTATAGCCATCTTTGTATGGAACCCATTTCTGGACTCCTATACTCGACTAGAAGAAAAAGGGGGTGAGAATGTCTTGGAGAGTTTGGAGGAACGTCATAACCTAACACAGTGCAATGGGTGATTACAAAACCCTATGTTGAAAAGTAGATCATACCTATTTATTCAATCGAGGTATGGCAGGGATGGGCAGCTATACCCTTCTGCTTTACATATGAAGTATACTGGTGGTACGGTCCAGAATGGGCAAGTTTATGAAGCAAACATCAAGAGGTTATTCACCTTAAGCGATCTTGTGAAATACCCCATCTCAATGGTAAGCACTGCAAAGCTATGAAAGATAAAGTGCGAGTCAACATGGCTGTACAGTGTGGATTTAGAGTCAGGCATCATTCAGAAAGCAAAAACACGAGAAATCCGAATCTGCGATATGATGTAAGTAAATATGATGGGAAGGGACAAGGAGGAATAAGCCAGTTATATCAAACAATGAACTCGTTTGGTGAGGGTAGAAGAGGATATATTTCTAGACGAAGAAGATCACCACGGGATAGAGAGTCAGGAATGGGAACCATGGAAGAAAGCTGTGAAAAGAGCATGCATTGGAAATAAAAGTCTATCCGGATTGGGACGAGGGTAGTGATGAGAAATAGAGGGAAGGGAAATAGGTAAAAAGGAGGAGTTACCCTCTCGAGCTGTTGAGGTCTTTGGGAGAGAAGAACAATTCAGATAAAGGAGAAAATAGGTATGGTGATAAAGTATCTGTGTAATATTGATGGCGAACAAGTCAGACTGTCATTGACCACAGGCCCAAAGGAAAAGGAAATGTGCTTTAAGGGAAAGGTGAAACACAGAACACGAGGAAAGAGGTTCAAATGAAGGTGAAGTAAGTGAATGGAGCACCACATTAATATCCCAGACCAGAATAATAGGTAATCAGGAAGGACAACATATCCGGAGTGAAAGAATTAACATGGTAAGGACAGGTGAAGGAAAGACTCCACAGTAATGGGAAAGATGAAAAGTATGGGAAAAGGCTGCTTGATAATGTGACATCAAGGAGACTAAAGATCCCGGTCAAAAGCCACACGAGAAACTATGAGATACCAGCTACAGTAGGTCAAGCAGCTGGAAATCCCTGAGCATGGGACCATGTGTGAAGGCTTTCCACTTCTCTTGATATACTTCCATAGATAAAGACATATGGATTGAGCCAAATGGAAAGCCACACGAAGGAAATGTATGGGAAAGCACGGCAAATTCTGGAGGTGGAAACAGGTGATCAAAGTCCTCATCAGCCTGCACAGATTCAGGAGGAAGTGGGGCAATGTCTGAAGATAAAGGTTTCCCCATGTCACATTCAATCTCCCTGCAAATAAATGTAGAAAAGGCTCCCGTTGTGTTGCCCACACCTGAAGCCTATGATAAAGTGCCTGTCGAAACTGAGACACCTGAAGTGGTGACATTGAATTTGGAGT